AATATTTCCTAATAATATTTATTTTTATAGGTTAGCAAAACATTTTAGAAGGTTGGACAATGCTATCAGCTCCTTCCTAAATACAATATAGGATTTAACTGTTTTGGGAGAAAGAAGAAAAGGAGATGTGGAAAGGTGTTGGGGAAGGGTTTCAGAATAAATCTGAGTTTTAGGAACAAGATTTTAGAAGCTAAACATAGTGTTTGCAGATATAGAGCAATAAGTTAAAGTGAAGCCCATCTAGAGAAGTGAGAATGACTGAACTATTGGATCATTAATTTCTCAGCTAAAGGCATTAGGTTCTCTCATTCCTTGAATAAAACCCCATTAATTAAAAATGCAGTAACTAATAATAATTTAAATGCATTTTGTTATTATAGATAAATGCTCAAATTATAGAATGCTAACAGCCATATTCTGATTGTATTTGGAGAATATGATTCTGTGTTTGTTTTAAGAAATACAATAATTTCTGAAAAACAAATTCAGAAGTCTATGTTTTCAAGAAACATTTTCTGGTTCAATGACAGATCGCCATGTATATTTCTGTAGTCAACACAACAACTCATTGCCTTCAAGCCAGAACCTACTCATAGTTATCCCTTCAGAGGCTTTAAATCACATAGGAGGATATTGTTCATCTTTCTCCCTTGGAAAAGCTGCTGGATTCTAACTACCTGTCTTTGAACCGACAGTACAAATCTTTACCCAATTGTCTATCAAAGCTCTCTGTTACTATATTATTGGGTTCTATCAAGTCCACCATGATTCATAGTGTCCCTGTAAACAGCAGATCTGAACCTTGGCCTATTCTACACCATATTCATATTCTAAGATGTACTCCAGTCTGTAGTTACAGCCACTGTGTCAACATATCTGCTTAAGGGTCTTTCTCTAGTTCTGATTAGTGGTTTAATTTTGGTAAAATAAAAAATACAGAGTTTGAAATTATCGATGAATTTAACATAGCAATGACTCACTTTTTTTTTTTACATAGAGTCACAGGTGACTCAACAGCAGACCACAACAACAATAATAGAGCTATCTATGGCAAAGTTTTAATTGTTATTCTTATTTTTAAGTAAAATTAAGTGACTTACTGTCTCACAGTCACCTTATGAGCAATATACCTGAAACTTGCCCTATCTTACATCATTTTTATAATCTCTGACAAACTCAAGCCATCATTAAAATCACTATGTTAATCCATCTTGTTAATAGTCTTCTTCTCTATTTCTGACCCTCCACCTTTTTCATCATGATGTCTTTATGTAAATATAGGCCTCTTTTTCTAAAGATAAGCCTTTCCTGACAAAATTCCCAAAGTAGGTGAGATAAAGTTTCACCATCCTTACCTCCAGGGGGCATCCTCGTTGAATTTCCC